GCCCTGTTGATGACGTCAGCAACGCGGTTTAATCGGGCGGGGCTTAGTCGAGCGCGGTTTTGACAGGTCACGCTGTAAAAGCCCCGCGAAGCGGTATATATCTCTTAAGTGCTATTGCCGTGCCAGAGAAAATACACGAGTAAGTCAGCTGAGCACTCCAAATGTGCAAACTTACAAGTTCCAGAACGTTCACCGGACAAGGGCATTGCCTGGACATCCACCTGTTGGGGACACCCTCCGGTGGGACTCTGCACTGACCGGGTGGCTGGATTCAACGGCCCCTTCCTTTCTAGGGATCAGCCACAGGGCCGCGGGTGCTTTCAGGAGCCATGGGAAGAGTAAAGGGCCTTTGGAGTACCTACACCTGTCCTTAGTCTGTGGAAAGGGGCCCTGGGCTGTGCACCCTGGCGGCCACGAGCAGCCCAGCCCCGTGAGAGAAGTGCCCTCTTCAAAGGGCAGAGGTCAGGGGCAAACAGAGGCAATCAATGCACCCAGGCTGCCTACCCGAAGTGATTCGAGCTCTTTCTCTGTGAAGTTAGTTGACTGAGCCAAATCCCACAAGTCCATCACACGGGGCTCCTCGAATTCTGGAGGAGGAAAAAAAGACGGATTTTCAGGGCTGAACACAACGTCGGCCGACTCAATTATCTCTGTCTGTGTCTGCAGAGACTTCCGCAAGATGCATTTGGGAAAAAAGGCAGAGGAAAAGTGCCGAACCCCGTGGGTGACTGGCAGGGGCGGTCAGAACCGGCCTGGAAGAAGGGCTGAGACTGCCTGGCCTTTCCTGGCCAATCAGAGGTCCTCCCAGCCGGTGCCCCTTCCAGCCTCAGAGCAGCTGCAGACACACCTGGGGCTTCCTTCCAGAGCCTCCAGGCAGCCAGCCCCACACTTGGCCCTTAGGCCAACTAAGAGGGAGGAGTCCTTGGGCCTGCCGCCCTGCCCACCACCTGGTCAGCCCAAGGGAGCCCCAGAGGGGGAGAGAGCGCCTACCGCTGGCAGAATCGTAGCCCTGGTGGCTGACTTTGCGCAGGCGCTCGAACCCCTGGTTGATGCTGTGCAGCTGCTCCTTGAGCTCCGAGTGTTTGCGATGCAGCAGCTCCTTCCAGGCTGCGCTCTCTTCCTCCAGCGGCTGGTCGATCGTGTTTTTGTGGACATCTGCGAGGAGAGGAGCTGGCACCAACCCAAGGCCCACCTGGGGCCCAGACCACCGGCCTCACAGCACAGGCCTCACTAGCCCCACCCGGATCAACATTCACGAAGGTAGGGAGAAAACACGGGGTCTCTTGCTCAGAAGAGCGGGTGGGGTTGGGGGGCTCCTGCCAATTTGCCAGAGAAAGGCCCTGCAAGTGGAGAGGGGCTGGATCTTCAGCAAAGGTGGCGAGGACAGAAAGGGGAGCAGAGGCTCCCTTGGGCGTCTGCCCTCGTGCCAGCTCTTCTCCCCACTGGGCAGGAACCTCAAAGCCAAAGAGGAGACACAGATTCCTCCTGCCAGACTGGAAAGCAGTCCCAGTCACTGGCTTCCTGCTTAGAGACTGCTTCGCTTAATGACAGAACCGCCAGTGACAACTGTAACTAAACAAGGGCCACCTGAACCAGCCGTGCGCCTATCACAGCTTAGGGGGGCCCTCCCTGCCATTCTCTGTACCTTCTGTCCGGCTCATGGTCTCCAGCAGGATGTTGTATTCGTGGATTTTCTCTTTGTGGTGCTGGAATTCCCTCCACAGCTTCTCCAGTTCCTCATCCGAGAACTTCCCGGAGCTTCTGGCCTGGGAGGGAGATCCAAGGGGAAGCGGGGGGGGGGGGGTTCACTCCCAACTCTCCCTGCTCAGTGGAAGAATCCCTTCCGAAAACTATTCAATAGGATATTGAAGATAAGATTTCCTGGGAGAAATCTAACCATTTAATATTTTAGCTTTAATTAATATTAAAATTAAACATTAACACGAGTACTTTTAATATTGAATTTTTAACACTGCTTTTATATATTTATATGATTCTCAACAGATGCTGTATGGGATTATTGTATGGCACCCAAATTGCCTTTGGCGAGATCAGCAGCCGTTTAAAGTTGATAATTAACCTCCTTGAGATTCTCTTCTCTGGAAAGAGATTTTGCTACTGGGCATCACTCCCCCCCCCCCCAGTTCTAAGGGAAGGGGGAGCTGCTACAGAAGGCGGGCATTCTTCTGGGCCAGCAGCAGGCAGCCCAAGGGGGGCCTCCCAGAGCGGGAGGAGGGCAAGATCGGCTGCCCCCAGCCCGGTTACCGGAGTGTCCCTGTGGGATGAGAATGACAGGCACCACCAGGACCAGGAAGCCAATCTCTGCCAAACGGGGCTTTGGGGAGCACAAAACTGGGTGGCGGGGGAAGAGCATCACTGTAGCCCCTTAAGGCCCTAAACAAAAGGAGGACTCACTATCCCTCCCAACCAGGTTATAGAGGGCAAAATGGGTGGGAAACTTTCTCCCCGCAATACAACTGAGCCTCTTGTCCCCTCAAGTATGGCTCTCCAGAATTCCATCTTGGAAACAGTAAACGAATCTCTGAATCAATGAAAACCGGAAGTCCTCCTCTAAGTCCCCCCCCCACCTCCCAAGGCTCCAGACAAACCTTGTTCCAGAGTTTCTCCAGCCGGGGGTCACCAAGGCCATCCTGCGCGAAGCCTTCCTTGATGTGGTTGGTCTCCCACTGCTGCCCCTCCTTCTTCCCACTCAAGCCGTATTTAGTCATAATTACTGGAGGGAACCAAACAAGGAGGCAGTTTTGGCACAGATCACTAACGTTTATTTTCAGTTTTGTGAAACTGGAAGTGAGCAGTCAG